GAGAAGAGAAGAGAAGAGAAGAGAAGAGAAGAGAAGAGAAGAGAAGATAAGAGAAGAGAAGAGTAACATTCAGGATCTTATAGAATCTTTTTTTTTTTCATTTCAGTTGAGAAAATTCCATGGTGACATCATTCTAGATTAATCAGTACAGTGCAATATCACCTACCAGCACATACCAATTTGGTGCCTTACTGTCAGTCTTACCAGATAGGCAGACGCAGAAACAGATGCCAGGTGTGCCTAAAACTTACTTTTGTTAAGAATGGCTATACATGGCTACGTTTGTTACGAATGGCTTGCAACAGAGCCTTGCAAGTCTGAATGTGCTTCTCCTCCTATCTTTTTTATGTTCGTGTGAATGCACACGAAAGATTGTTTGTCTGAGACATTTTCAGATCTCCTCTGCCACATTTGGGCTTCCACAATGTTTATCTGCTTGCTGCCTTCATTCGCTCCATCAAGATCACCTTCTCTCTGTTCTGACTGTGGGTAAGCAAAACTGAGCCAAAGCACAACACAAATTATAAGGGATTAACAGGAAAAGGATTTTAAAACCAGCCACAAAGATTAAAAACCCACCAAATGTTAACATTAGCCCACATTGGCTGATCTCAAAAAACCTGAGCTGGGACAGACCCACTTTATATTAGGATAATAATACCAAAAACCACAGGATGATTGAATAGGTTGAAAAATTGGAGGGGGGGGGATCCTAAAAGAGGGCAATGACAAAGCACTTTTGTATTGGCAGCAATTTATGTAGTCACCAGGAGCTAAGATTGACTCAAAAATGCCTTTATTTTACTTTCTGACTCTTGGCAATTGCCTACACTAGTCTCTGCAAGTTTTTTGGCAATAATTTTTGGAGTGGTTTGCCATTGTCTCATTCCCATGGCTGAGAGAGAATGACTGGTCCAAGCTCACCCACCTGGCTTTTTGCCAGATAGGACTAGAACTCACAATTTGCTGATGTTTTAACCACCTGAACAGACTGGCGCTCTGACTTTATTTACAAGAATTAAAATGCAGCACAAAATGAAACCTACAAGAATGGAAACACCTTGTCCTGTTGTCAAGGTGACAGCTACATCCATAAAATATGTTAAACAGGTTTAATGACATAATAACAATTGAAACCAGCTAAACTGTACAAAATAAATACATATGGCACCAAATAAAGTAGTTACTATGGGTTTTATTACAACCAGGAAATGGGGACCTTAACAGACTTGAGGATCCAGGCCTGGGCATACAACCAAGACTTTGCAGCCCTTGTGAAAGGCCAACAGGGCCAGAGTCATCCTGAAATCTGAAGGGAGAATATTCCAGAGGCAGGGGACAGTTGAATGCAGGGGTGGGCTGCCGGGGGATTCCAGGGGTTCGGGAGACCCTCTAGCTAAGATTCTGCACAGTTTCCGCCCCACCCCTCCCAGGAGTCCCCACCATTTTGGATGCAGGTAAGTGCAGGGTGCGCGTGAAGGCTTGGGGAAGGCGAAAAACGAGCCTCCCAGAAATTCAGGAAGGCTGGAAATGGGCCCATTTCCAGCTTCCAGAGAGCCTCTGGAGCCCAGGAAGGCCAAAAATGTTCCACTCCACCATGGTGCAGGAGGCCGGCTAGGCCACGCCCACCATGGCTACATCCACCCAGAAATCAGGCAGAGAACCTGTTGCTAAAATTTTTGAAGCCCTCTCCTGGTTGAATGATATAATTTTAGGGATGTTTACTTAGAAGTTCTTTCTACCAGGAAACTCCAAAGTAAGTGTAAGTGGGGTACAATCATAGATACTTCTAAATGAAATCACAAAGAAGTAAATCTGAGTCTCAAAATGTAAGGGAACATATGGGTGATCTTGGGGAAGAGGGCAAGAGATGCTGCCTAGGAAATAATCAGATAAGAGAGGCAGGAGTTCCCAATGACTTAGCGATCAGAGAAAGAAACCTAAGAAGGACCCACCCTATGGCCCAAACAGTTAAAAGAGATGGTGGGAATTCTGTACTTTCAGATTTGCGAGACTGATGCCAGCTCTCCCAGGTAAACCAGACAGGGGACACAATCAGATGAAGTAATTCTACTTTATTGTAAGGCTACATTATCATAGTCTTTCAAGTTGTTCTGTTTATTTTTATTGTATTTTCCTATGTGGGAAGCCACCTACAGCTGTCAGGGCATACCATACCATACCATACCATACCATACCATACCATACCATACCATACCATACCATACCATACCATAACATTACCCCATACCATTATACCATATCATACCACATCACATACCACACCACACCACATACCACACACCATACTACACCATACCATAACATACCAGCTTATTTGCAAATACTATAGAAGTCTTTTTAAACAAATTTACAGGAGCCATGGTGGCACAGTGGTTAGAATGCAGTATTGCAGGCTAACTCAGCCCATAGCCTGGAGTCTGATCCTGGTCGGCTCAAGGTTGACTCAGCCTTCCATCCTTCCAAGGTCGGTAAAATGAGGACCTAAGTTATTGGAGGCAACATGTTAACTCTATAAACTGCTTAGAGAGGTCTGTAAAGCACAACCAAGCAGTATGTAAGACTTATTGCTATTGCTGTTCATCATCCAAACTCAACAAGTACAAAAGAGCCTGACTAAATCCAAACTTGATATGTTTACAAAAAGTGGTATAATGGTGTTAGGCTAGAACTAAGAAAACTTGGGTTAAAGGCCAGGCAAAGTTACTGCATGATTGTGTGCAACCTATATCATAGCACTGTTGTTGGAGGGAGGGAGGCAGTGGAAACAGAGACAACCTTATGTTGTCTTTTGTTCCTGGAGAAAAGATAGGAAATAAATATAACAAATAATATGTATCTGGGATCCACACATTTCTGCTATATGATAGATCACCATGATAAGTGTAATGTTAGCCCACTCCTTTTTTTCTTATTTTGGTCACAGCTAAACTCTAGTTTTAGTTGTTTCTGTAGTTACTTACCTGGCTGGTTGGACTCCCACTAACATAAGAATTCTTAATGCAATTCTACGATGCAGATTCCACTCTTCAATGGCGGCCGCCATGGTCAAGCCACTCAAAAAGAGGAAGTTGGTGTCTAAAAAGTATTGGGGACATACTTTGTTGGCTGGGAGAATTCCAAGGAAAGGAAACAGAATTATAGGGAGAAGAGCAGTCACTGATAAAGGCAGAGCTTCGGTGCACCAATATATAGCCATCACCAAAATGACATAGAGACATTTTCCTTCCTGCAATGAAAAAATGGGGGGGAGGGGAAGCATTATAAAGGATTTCTAAATCATTTGGAAAACTGCAAAGACTTTTGTAATTCTTATTTCATTTTCATTGATTACAACAGCAATGCTACGAATTAGGTTTCTGTTAACCTTAGTGCAGACCAACACATGTGGGAATACTAACTCTAACTTTTTTGCAAGTTTTATTTATTTGTTTGTTTGTTTATTTGTTTATTTATTTATCAAATGTATAGAGTTGCTCATTTCACTGAAGTGACTCTGAGTGGCTCAAAACAAATAGGTAAAATTACATATTAAAAAACTCAGGTATAAAAAATATATAAAAATCCCATTAGCGGTGTATTAGTATTGGTTATTTTAACAGAATTATGCAAGTCTGATGGTACCCTGCCTTTCTCTTTAAAAACTATGGAGGTTGCTTTCTGTCATGTTTCCATCAACCCTCTCTTTCAGGCTCCATTTTCCTTTATTAGCTCTTCCTTCTTGTCATCAACATTTGTCATCAGTGAATGTTAATAGCTGCCTTCAAGGAAGCATATCTGTGATGATATCTGAGCCAGGCATATCAGGTTCCCCTGGGAAAAGAGGGGAGGCTGAAAGTTTGCACTCAGATGAATCCTAGATAGAAACAAAGTTTAAGTATTTCTGTATCTCTTTAACGCAATGGGTGGATTAAATACTCATTGTGCCAGCCCAAGCAAATGGATATATGCCAGTTCTGCAGCTCAGAAGAACCAGATACAATTTTCTTTTGAAGACTAAAGCCACTGCATACCTTCATAGTTATTAAAATAGTGATCTATTATATTAAAGTTTGACTACAAACATGAAGTATCTGAATTATCCAAAAAGTGCTTCAGAAGTATGGTTTATTATAAGTGTATGATAAGTTATTTATGGTCTACATGATGGATGCACTAAATGGATTTCTTAAGGCTGCAAGAAGAATTTTAGGTTATAGGTATACCTCAGATGGATTAATTTCATTAATGGAAGGGGATCAGATAGGAGGGATCAGATAAGAAAATAAAACAAAACAGTCATTCAGGTGAAAAAAAAAACAAAGTATGAAAAGAGTCAAAGAAAGAAAAACATTATCATTAGCTCATCATTCAATATTTCAGAAGTGCTGGGGATATATACACTGGAATGGAAACTACACAAGCTGAACTAAGAAATCTATTTAATCACTCACTTAAGTGCAGCATGCAGAAACTGAGTTGGAAATACGAGTTGGTAACAAGACTTACTAGCCAAAAAAATTATTTCAGTCATAAAAGTGCTAGTAAATAAGTATTATTCCAAGTCATATTACCTATATTTCTACAAGCCATATGAAGTGATTAATCTTTATTCAAATACAGAAGTCACAACCACAGGATCACCTACTTTAACCAATGTAATTTTAAAGTTTTGACTATGGCTGCAAAGAAGTATCATACGTAATTTGAAAAAATGGGAACTTCCAGTCCTGACAAATGGGCTATTTGTGTTGTCCACCTGTTCTTCAGGTTTCCAAACAAATTTCCAAACAAATCTATCAAAGCAATCAAATTTCCCATTTCTCAATTTTAACATAAAACTCTTGGGAACCAGCGCACAAAGCATCCATGAAGTGAATTTAGTCAAAGGGCATCAGTTCCCATTGAAAGAGAAAAAAGATGTAAATAGCATCTTTCTTGATTCTACCAGCTTTGACATCTGCTTTACTGTGCTCTAGGGCAATGACCAATTAGTTTTGATCCAGTCTCTGAATTAGTCCAAATGTTCTTTTAAAAAAATAATTATTTGACTTGCTTAACATTCAGAATGACCTTTTTTTGTTACAAATGCAAACTTTCCTACAAGTCTTGTGACTGAGTTAATTTTCCAACCATGTAATAATTGCCAGCAGAGTTGTGTTTTCCTCAGTTATGCAAGACATGTTTTACATAATCTGTTACCACAGAGGAAAAAGAAGAATATTCGAGTCTCATCGGCTCAAGGTTGACTCAGCCTTCCATCCTTCCAAGGCCAGTAAAATGAGAACCCAGATTGTTGGGGGCAATATACTGACACTGTAAATCACTTAGAGCAGGGGTGGGCAAACTTTTTGGCTCGGGGGGCCGCATTCACTTTTAAAATTTGACAGACGGGCCGGGTCAGCACAAGATTTTTTGGGAATCGCCCCCCCTTCCCCCCCTTCTTCTCCTCCTTCCCCTCCCCTCGGAGGCCCCCTGAGTCAGGAGTTGCTACTGCCGGCACGGCTCCACGCGGCTCCAGTCCCACGTTGCCTCGGGAAGGGAAAGGCAAAAAGGAAGAGCCGCGGCGGTGCTTTGCAACGGCAGCAGCGGCACCGGAGGTTCAGGCTCAGCGGCTCCTGGTTTTGCCTTTCCCTTCCCAAGGCAACGCAGGACTGGAGCCGCGCGGAGCTGCGCCGGCGGTAGCAACTCCTGACAGCCCCAGCCGGACACCTGAGCAGAGCCCGGGCAGAACTGCCTGTTGCTGCTGCGGGCGCTGCTGCGGGTGTCTGGCTGCCCAAGTAAAGAACCGCACCAGCTCAGGGCAACTGTGAGGAGCAAGAAGGGAGAGACAGAGAAGGAGGCAGAGAAGGAGGAGAGCACCTGGCCAGTTGGGGGAGGCTTCTTGTGCTGCGAAAGAGGCGGCTAATGATCTCCAGCTTCACTCTGCTTCTCCAATACCTTATGCCACCAGACTTGAAATTCTAGAACTAGAAAACCTTGAATTACGCCGTCTTCGGTCTGACTTAAGCATGGTATATAAAATCATACATTGCAATGTCCTACCTGTCAATGAATACTTCAGCTTCAACCATAACAACACAAGAGCACACAATAGATACAAACTCAAAGTAAACCGCACCAAACTTGATTGCAGGAAATACGACTTCAGCAATAGAGTGGTCAATGTCTGGAATACTCTACCCGACTCTGTAGTTTCTTGCCCAAACCCCAAAAACTTTAACCTTAGACTGTCTACTATTGACCTCACCCCTTTCCTAAGAGGTCTGTAGGGGGCGTGCATAAGCGCACCAACGTGCCTACCGTCCCTGTCCTATTGTTTCTCTTATTCTTTTATTTTTCTTATATGTACCCATTTCATGTATTCACAACTATGTATACATTTATACTTATTATCTTGTAAACAATTGGCAAATCAAATAAATAAATAAATAAATAAATAAAATAAAACATCCGGCGCCGCCCTGTTGTGTGCGCCGGCTGCTCGGACTTGCTGGGCCTGACACAGAACAGGGCAGCGCCGGATGTTGGAGAAGCAGAGCGGAGCCGGAGATCATTAGCCGCCTCTTTCGCAGCACAAGAAGAACAGGGTGGTGCCGGACCATTGGAGAAGCGGAGCAAAGCCGGAGATTAGTAGCTGCCTCTTTCGGCGCAGAAAGCTTCCCCCAACCAGCCGGCTGGTCTCCTCCTTCTCTGCCTGTTTGTTCTGTATGCCCGAGGAGGAGGAGACCAGCTGAGAAGCACGCTGCCAGGCGGGGGCCAAGCGGCGCAGGGCAACACGCCACCGCCCAGCCCTGGCGAGGGAAAGCAGTGGGCGTTCCCGGGCGGTGGCCTTGGCCCCGCTACCAGGGAAGCAGCTGCCCAGCTCTGTGTTGTGTGTGCAATTTTTGGCGCGTGGCGCGGGGTCTCTTTTGGCCGGCCCCAATTTTTTTTTCAGAGGGGAATATTTTTTTTTCAGAGGCGGGCCGTATTAAAATGACCAACGGGCCGGATGTGTCCCGCGGGCCGTAGTTTGCCCACCCCTGACTTAGAGAGAGCTATAAAGCACTATGAAGTGGTGTATAAGTCTATTTTTCTGTCTTATTTATTTATTTTGGATTTCTATTCCCATCAGGTCAGACAGAATGCCAATATTCAGAGATTGTGGGAATAATTGCTCAAAATATCTTTTAACGTCTACCTTTGCTATAACTTTCTACTTAAACAACAGCAAGAGTTTTCAATTACAAAGAAGGCTGAGTTCCATCTCAACAACTCAGAGCTAAGTAAGATCTCAGAATAGGGACAATGGTCTATGTTCTAAAAGATACCATGATATTTCTGTGCCTTCCTCTCTCTTCTCTCTCCTCCCACCCACTCACTGGGGTTGTTGTTTTTTGTTTTGCCTTTTCTTCTTCTATATGGCATTCTTTTTTCCCCAGAATTACAGTATATAGGTGGCAAAAAAAAAGCTGTGACAAGAACTTTTTCAATATCAGAACAAATTGTGGGTCTCCTTGGAGAGTCTTGGGAAGCTCAAGTGTAGGCCTCAACACCAATAATAATGAACTCCCTACCTCTTCTCAGGAGATATTTAGTAGCAGTGTACAGATGGTTCTTGACTTATGGCCACAATTGAGCCCATGTTGGTAAGTGAAACATTTTTTCAGTTAATTTTGCTCCATTTTACAATTTTTCTTGCCACAGTTGTTAGACGAATCACTGCAGTTGTTAAGTTAGTAACACGGTTGTTAAGTGTACCTTGCTTACCCATTGACTTTGCTTGTCAGAAGGTCGCAAAAGAGGATTATGTGACCTTAGGACACTGCAGCCGTCATAAATATGAGTCTATTGCCAATCATCTGAATTTTGATCACGTGACCATGGAGATGCTGCAATAGTCATAAATGTAAAAACTGGTCATAAATCAGTTTTTCAGTGCCACTGTAACTTTGAACGGTCGCTAAATGAACTGTTGTACATCGAGGCCTACCTGTAGTCAATTTCAAATCTCTCTCTCCCCCCAAAAAGTATACAGTATACTTTTTTGGGGGGGAGAGAGATAAATTATATGAATAATATATACGAAGACATATATTAACTGTGAGAAAATTTCTGGAGTTTACTTGTCTCTGACTACTAACACTTAGAATATTTAGCAAAAGATTTACTCTGAATTACCTTGTCTTGACTCTTCATTTAATGACATTGAAGCCTACATTAAAAATACATTAAAATATCTTTCGATGCCCCCTTTTGACCTTGTTCCCC